AAAGGAGGGTAGGATCAAGAACAGCTACGACGTCTCCAACGGCGAAATTTCGGCAAGGTGTGGCCCACTTAGGACGCTGCTGGAGGGTGTTAAGGTATTCCCGGCTCCAGCGCGTCCAAAACTGAGCTCGAAGGCTGCGCACAAGCTCCCAATGGGCAAGCCTGTCGGGGCACTGCTCTGCAGGAGGGGCCTCGATGATAGAGTTTAGAGGGGCTCCGGTAATGAAATGGCCAGGCGTGAGCACTTGGAGGTCATCGGCTTCTCCAGAGAGTGGGACCGAGGGTCGACTATTGAGCACTATTTCGATGCTAACTGACACGGTTGAGAGCTCCTCGTAAGTGAGGTGTCGACTGCCAATGACACGTCGGAGGTGTCCCTTGACGGACTTAACGCCGGTCTCCCAGAGACCACCAAAGTGAGAAGCTCCAGGCGGAATGAAGCGCCAATCGATGCCTTGGTTAGCCAGGGTCCCAGCGATGAGCTCGCCCTCCAGCTCGACCTGCTGGAGTGCTTCCCGGAGTTCGTGGTCAGCTCGACGAAAACAGGTGGCGTTTTCACTCCATAGCTCGGTTGGACGGCCTCGGTGATCAGAGAAGCGCGTGAGAGCAGCCAAGAACGAGGTAGCAGAGAGATCTCCAACCAGCTCGAGGTGCACGGTCTTCGTGGTCAAGCACACAATGAGGGCGATGTACCCCTTTGAAGTGCGGATTCCTCGTCCTCTGTTGGCGAGTATGTCGAAGGGGCCTGCATAGTCAACCCCAGTACGACCGAAGGCGCGAAAGAGTGTGATCCTGGACCGAGGAAGGGAGGCCATCTGTTGAAACGCAGGCCGTGCTCGCAAGCGAGCGCAAAGGAGACAACTCCGCAAAAAAAGTCTTGATTCGACGGGTACCACCAATGATTTAAGAGCGTATTAAAACGTAAGCACTGGTGACCCTGAAACCTCCATGCAACGCACGAGAATGTGCCCAGGACAAGACGAGGCGAGATAGGATGCAGTAGCCGTGGATAATCAGAGGATGCTGCTCGTCGTAGGTCAGCGAAGAGTGCTGAATCCACCCGTCAACCTGGAGGACTCCATCAGTGTGGATAAATGCAGCAACGGAAGCTAGTGGATGATTCTTCGGTAGAGGACGCCCAAGTCGAAGGAGCGAAAGCTGCCTTGTGAAGGCACGCTCTTGGCTTAGACGAACACAGGCCAGGAACGCATCTATCAGCTCGATCGTGGTCCAGAAGAATGTCACTGGCCGGTTACGTGTCCGACCGAGGCGAGCACGAACCCACCGGCGCAAACGAGCAAGAACCCGGAGCAAGGTGCCAAGGTCGGAGAATCGATTGAGCAGATGGATTTCAGGCCGCTGGACGACGCAGCAGGTTACAGGCGTCGGTGGCCGTGTAACCAAATCCTCGTGCGGCCAACACTCCGGGCCATTCGACAGCCATGCTGGACCATGCCACCACGAGCTCTGTAGATGAAGTTGGCTGGCATCAGCGCCACGGGACTCGACATCGGCTGGATTTGATGAGGTTGGCACGTAGCGCCAGATGTTAGACGGTAGTAGCTCCTGGATATGGGCAACATAGTTGTCGACCAAGGCATTCCCTGTGGGCTCCACGGAACGAAGCCAGCGCAGGACAATTTGGGAATCAGTCCACGCACGGCAGTTTTCGATAGGGAGACCGAGCTCCGTTGATGTCAATTGAAGCAGCTTGGCTGCGAGTAGTGCGGCTCGGAGCTCAAGACGAGGTATCGTCATCCGAGGCTGGAGAGAAGAAGCTGGCTTTAGAGTTCGGATTGGAACGAGCTTGGTTTTAGCCAAAAGAATGTGGCAGCGCACTAAGCCTGTAGAGTCGGTAAGTTAAGAAAAAGTTACAGCTGCATGTCGTGGTGGCTTGCATCGGAGAAGGCGTGGAGCTGCAGATCTAAATCGGGCGACCATCCAATCCATCATGGGATAGCAAACCCATGGATCGCCTGAAGCTCGGAGATGAAAGCTGACCACCGGCGGGCCATTGACGGTGGCACGACCTCATCCCAGTCGAGTCCAGCGCGCCATAAATCCTAGAGCAGAAACTTGGCGTTCAGGATGGTAGGGGCCAGCCAGCCACACAGATCAAAAAGCCGTGCCAGAGTGGCGAGAATTGTCCGCTTCGTGTCTTGAGCCTGAACTCGGGGAGGAGTAAGACGGAAATGGTCTGAGGCTGGATCCCAGCTAACATCGAGTTCACTTACAAAACCATTAGTGGTTAGCTCTTGCCAAGTGGAGCGAAGGCGCTCTTCTTCTGGGAGGTCGTCTAAGAGCTCAGGCACGTTTGCTACCCATTTCCTCAACGGAAACCCTCCAGCTTGCTACAGGCAGATAAGCTGGTTTCGAAGTTCACGTGCAGCATCGAGGTTGTCAGCGCCGGATAGGATGTCATCTGCATAGCGATCACGTATAGCAGCAGTTGCATCTCCAGGCCACCTGTGGCCTTCATCCTCGCACAACTGCTAGATGACCCGCAGTGACAAGTAAGGCGAGCAAGAAACGCCGTAAGTGACTGTGAGCAGCTGATAGTGTGTAGGCGGAATGCTTGGGTCTGGGCTCCACACAATGCGTTGCAGGTCAACGTCCTGAGGGTTAACTTGAATTTGGCGAAACATCATCCGGGCGTCGGTGCAGAACGCGAAGCGATGTCGGCTGCCTGGAGCCTCGGCTCGGTGTACAGGGCATCGTTGAGACTGTAGCCACTCGAGGTCGCGTGCGAGGCATTAAAGACGACGCGCAGCTTTGATCCTCGATTCCCGCGCTGCCAGATGCCATGGTGTGGGATGTTATATACGGAACGAATCGGCGTGGAGACCAAAGCATCGGACAATGGCCTCATATGGCCCAGCGCGACGTACTCGTCCATGAATGGAGAGTACTCGATTGCCATATTTTGGTTCCGATGAAGGCAAGCTTGCAGGGACCTCAAGGATGCTCGGGCGCTCTGTAGACTGCCGCCGAGGAGATGGAGGGCGTCCTGCTTCGAGGGAAGCCTCACTATGTAGCGATCATCCTCGTCTCGCCGATGGTCGGAGAAAGTCCGCTCGCATTCGATGTCAGCGGGCGCCTGACGGCGTGCCTGTCTGAGGTCCTCGAGCTCCCAGAAGCGTTGTAGTAGGGAGACAAGTTCCCGATGCCAGGCTGGGGCAGCTTCGTCTCGTAGGGTTGAGCCGGAGAGGACGGAGCTTGATGAGCATCCGGGTGCCCAGCCCGTGAAAACCCACGACTGTGCGCTGACCAAAGATCTCACCATGCTGCATGGACTCGAGTTTGAGCAGACGAGGATAGACGTCAGCACCGAGAAAAAGTTCAACCTCGCTCGGCTGATCGAAGGTGGGGTCTGCGAGGTCAATGAATTTCCAAAGCTGCCGGACTGATGGATCCAAAGACATTGCAGGGGTGTAGAGCTTGAGGCGTTTCAGACACAGGGCTGACAGCGTGATCAAAGTAGTGTTGTCTCGTGGTACGAGGTTGAGCTGCACTCTCGCCGTTGACCGGACAATAGGATGACCCCCGAGTCCGGAGAGGCTGATGGTAGACGCCTCCATTGGCGCCTCGAGTCGGCAGGACACTCGCGCTGACACTACGGTGACCTCAGAACACGGATCAAGGAACGCTCTGACAATTACTGTGCATCCGGTATGGCCACTGGGCTGAACAAGGGCGGTTGGGAGCACTGCTAGTCATTGTTGGAGCTTCGGGTTGCCATCGCCGGCCTCGGAGCGAGTCTTGTTCTCGCGCTTGGCGTACTTCGCTGAGGTAGTATCGTTCTGGCGCTCCGCGTGACGCTTCTGCCCGTCATGAAGAAGACTGTGGTAGGTGGCGCGGCAGTGTTGGCAGACGGATTTGGACGGACAATCTTTGACAGAATGCCCCCGATTCAAGCAATTGAAACAGAGTCTTTCGCGGAACACGACGTTCTTCTTGGCCGTCGCGTTTAAGCCCTGGAACTCGCTGCAGTGGCCTAAATAGTAAGCACCATAATAGGTAGGACAGGTAAGCGAGCTTTCTTGAGTTGCAAGGGTGCGGAAACTCCGGGTGGCTGAAGAGGGTGCCGTAGTACGTAAGCTGGAGGGCATAGGAGAGCGTGTTACGCGAGAAGCTTTAACAGAGCGGAGAGCGCGACACTCGCGACGAAGGAAAGACGTCAAGACAGTAAACGTGGCTATGTTAACTTCTAGCTCCGGGCTGGATGCCTCAAGCTTCTCCAACTCATTCTCCCAGTACGGAAGCGCCTACGCTCCACCTAGCCAGCTAGCCACGTAGCTAGCTAGCCTGGTGAAAATTTCATTTCATGGTGAGGATAGGCCGTGACGATTGAACACTCGAAAATTCGAGTATCAGGCAGTATGAGCATTGGCATCGATGTATCGATGTTTGTACGATGAATACATACATACATACATATAAAAGGTGATAATGATAAATCGTGTACATATGTGTACATACATGTGAAGGTTATGTTAATATATTTATACAGTTTACAGTTACACATATACACAGATGTGTACGTACTACACACATCTATATATATATATATATATATATATATATATATATATATATATCTATCCATCACAGCCGCTACCAAACCGCCGCTTCATATACTTATTATCATAATATAGGATTCGTAATTTATTACTTTGTTCATGAACGGTTTAAACAATAATAAGATGATGTAAGTAAAAGTTATTTAATAATGGTAAATTAGGTATACGTGACACATAGAGAATGGTAAGCTGGGGTAAAAAATATAAAACTAAGCAACAAAAACTGGTTACAACATGTCAATAAAATATATACAGCTCATGTATCTAATTTGACTGCTAATTCATCAAATCTATTTTAAACAATGACAAGTAAAATTTTGAGAATATGATGGAATAAAAAAATTGACGAATTCCTGACTTTCATGATAGTTAAATAAAAAACTCATTGGATTACTTTTACAGATATAAATCAACAACATAGTTTTATCATATAAAATTACTGTTTTTATTATTTAATATTACCTGCACAAGACTCACTCATACACAATTAAATAATTAAGGGAATTAAGTGATTGTGGAGTTTAAAAAATGAATACAATATAAAAATCACTCGAGTGATCAGTTATTTTTGCTTGTTTGATTATCAAACGATGAAAAATTTTGTAAAGTTTAGCCCCTTCCCCTGCCAGTCTGTGGTGCATTTGACGTTTGATTCTGCTGATTAAGCCACGGAGCTGAGCCAGTACCTCTACCTCGCTGATTTGTCCCTCTACCTCTGCCTCTGGCTGCACAAAACATACGATTTATTAGAGCTTATCAAGTGTAATCATGAGTAACAAATAATTGACAAAACCAGCAATACCTTGTGCTCTAAGAATTGCAGACTTTCCTCTGCCAGCAGTACCAGAGCCCTTTCCACCAGGCCTCTTGAACATTGGTGCATTTTTCAACATGTCAGGCAGTATGAGAAACCTGATTTTTGAGCCACGAATGTAAACATTTTCAAGCTGGGCGACTCGGCCATCCCTATAGGTGACGGTAATATTTTGCATCTGACAGTTCATGTTGTCCTCGGCCTCGATGAGCTTGCCCCGGTAGACCTCACCGGTATTCGTCTCGCAGGTTATGATGTGGCCCTCGGCTTCGTGCAACACCTTGATTGGCACCCCTATCGACATTTTTCTTCCGGTTTTGTGTCACTCGCTACTTGGAGAACTTGAGGAGCTTACTTTTAACCAGTTGATCTCGTGAGAATTAATTATTTGCAAAATACTAAGTCTAGTAGTCTTTTCGGAGTCTACGAACGCGCGGACTGTTTGTGCCCAGCTCAAACATGCATACATGCGTGTACAAAATATATACAACAATCTATACCTATATAGAAATATGCATTACATTTTCGATTTACTCTACTCTACCGAAAAAAGCGAAAATATTAACATTCGGCGTATCGACTCATAAGAAAGCATTTTTCAGCGCCATCTAGCGGAATTTTGTAAAAAAGTAAACCCCCTGTTGTACCAACTGTTGTCAACAACTGGTAATTCAATGTCCTTCTTTACCGGCATTCGGGAGGTTTAGAAATGTAAACTAAATCTAAATCCTTTATATTATGTGAACTTACAAAAATTGAACGTACTATTTTTTGTTAAATATTATAACAAATGAGATTATGTTAAGGATATTTAATTTTTGTTAAAAATGCGTATTGCATAAAAAAAATGTGATGTTACTGTATTGTTTAGTTAAAGTTAAAAAAAAAAAAATCACGAAAAAAATCGCTACATTATTTGCTGTCTTGAAAAAAAACAATAGAGCTTATTTAAAACGATTTAAACCTCAAGATGAAAATAAACATATCTTGCGTATAAATTCTAAGTCATTTTAATGATATGTTTTACTTCTGTTTCTTCAATCTTTTCTCGCATTTCACTTTTGCTGATTCAATTTCAAAAATGTTTAATGTTTGAAATCTCCATACCGATAGAGTCGTATATGCGTCCTCGTCTTCCGAAAAAGTCGAGCCGCTCGAGCCGCCTCGAGGAGCAGTCGAGCCCCGTGAGTGTCTGCACTTTACCGTCTGCTTTCGCCAGCGAAGGAGGTCTTTTCCTTTTCAGTCGTCGTCGAAAGCAGACGCTTCGGTAACTCTGCAACCATGACGTGAGTATTTACAACTAATCCATATTTATCATTATAATCTTAATTGTGAAAATCTTGGTTATTTTTGAAATGTATTCGCAGAGATTTTGTTATCTTGAAATCAGTAATATTTTTTATCTTTCATTTACTTATTTGTTTTCGCAAATTTCTACAGTAATTTTCTTTTTCATAGTGTAACGCATCAATATGTGATAATTAACCGGTTGTTTAAATGATGTGTATAGTTTTCTGGAGCATCAAATTACTACGTTAAATTTACCTCGTTATTTTTCAGTTCGAAAATTTCTCGTGAGATGTTTTACGATGCTGTTAATGCAGTACTCGAAAACTCCAAAGAAAAGAAGAGGAACTTCGTCGAAACAGTCGAGATTCAAATCGGTTTGAAAAACTACGACCCACAGAAGGACAAACGTTTCTCTGGCACTGTGAAGTGAGTTTTACCTGCTTCAAAGTGCTCTTTTTGGTTTTTGTACGAAACACGTGTTAACTACACATTTAACCTATAAGGTATAGCCCTTAAAGAGCTGCTTTGCATGTCAGGGAGCTGAGCTTTTGCTTGGCGGACCCTCACCCAGGGTCTTAAATATTGGGGAGGTATTGTACCGAACACTTTTTTTACATTCATACAGGTCCTCAAGTACAAGCACATTTTGTGCTGGTAAGTTGACTTAGTATCGCTCCGATAAACATTTGAAAATATTTTGGCTTCACATGTATGTTAAAATCCTACCTTTTTTTTCTATTTCAACGGCTCTATGATGGTACATACTTTGCATGTATTACCTGATCATAATTGATGAGATTTTATTATACTGAGAGCTTTTTTATTATAATTATTTAATTATTCTAGTTATGCGCAAGTGAAAGATTGAATGTAATAATGAGCAACGTGTATTTTACAGACTGAAGCACATTCCTCGCCCCAAGATGCAAGTATGCATCCTTGGTGATCAACAGCATTGCGATGAAGCCAAAGCTAATAATGTTCCATTCATGGATGCTGAAGCCTTGAAGAAGTTGAACAAGAACAAAAAACTTGTCAAGAAACTAGGTATGTCGATGTGATGTTTATCTATTCTTAAGTTATGAATAGGAATATAC